CTCTGCAGCAAAAATTGTAAATTGTTAAAGAGATTGAGGTAGACATCAGAAGATGGAAGGACCGCCCATGCTCATGGATTGGAAGAATTAATATTGTGAAAATGACCATCCTACCAAGAGCAATATATAGATTCAATGCAATCCCAATCAAAATCCCCATGACATACTTCACAAAATTAGAAAAACAACATCCTTAAATTTGTATGGAAACAGAAAAGATCCTGGCTAGCCAAAGCAATCCTGAGCACAAAAAGCAACGCTGGGGGATTACTATACTGGATCTCAAAGTATACTACAGAGCTGTAGTCATAAAAACAGCATGGTACTGCCACAAAAATAGACACATAGATCAATGGAACATCATTGAAGACCCAAATATGAGTACGTGCAATTTCAGGCACCTGATATTTGACAAAGGTGCCAAGAACACACAATGGAGGAAAGACAGCATATTCAACAAATGGTGCTGGCAAAACTGGATCTCCACTTGTAGAAGAATGAAACTATATCCTTATCTTTCACCTTTCACAAAAGTCAACTCCAAATGGATCAAAGACCTCAAGGTGAAACTGGAAACCCTGAAACTATTAGAAGACAATATTGGCAGTAACTCACAAGATATAGGTGTAGGAAAGGACTTTCTAAATCAGACAGCAGTTGCTCAGAAATTAAGGTCAACAATCAACAAGTGGGACCTCATTAAAACAAAAAGCTTCTGTACAGCAAAAGAAACAATCAAGAAAGTAAAGAGAAAACCCATAGAGTGGGAAAAAATCTTCACCAGTGACACATCTGACAGAGGTTTAACATCCAGAATATATTAAGAACTTAAAAAACAAAGAAGCAAGAAACCAAACGACCCAATTACAAGATGGGCTAAAGATTTAAACAGAGAGTTCTCAAAAGAAGGAATAAAGATGGCTAAGAAACATCTTTAAAAGTGTTCAACATCATTTGTAATTAGGGAAATGCAAATTTAAACCACCCCAAGGTATCACCTTACCCCAATCAGACTGTCTAGGATCAAGAGAACAAATGATACCAAATGCTGGCGAGGATGTGGAGAAAGGGGAATGCTCATTCAGGGCTGGTGGGATTGCAAACTCGTGCAGCCTCTATGGAAAACAGTGTGGAGAACTCTTAAAAATCTAAGAATTAACCTACCATATGACGCAGTTATACCACTCCTTGGCATTTACCCAAAGGTCTCATCCTATTGTAGAGACACTTAAAGAATCATATTTGTTGCTGCTCTTTTCACAATATAGCTAAGAGATGAAAGCAACCTAAGTGCCCCTTAACTGATGAGTGGTTAACAAAAATGTGGTATATTTACACAGTGGAGTTCTATTCAGCAGTATAGAAAGATAAACTAATGAAATTTGCAGGTAAATGGATGGATCTAGAAGCTGTTATAGTAAGTGAAGTAACACAGGCTCAGAAAAACAAAAGACGTATGTTCTCCCACATCTGTGGATCCTAACACCAAATCCTTATGAGTGAGTGCAGATCCTGATGTAACTGCAGGAACCAGGAATATGGAAGGAAAACAGGGAGGTAAAGGGAAAGAAGGAATAGTGGAATAAAGGTGTTATTAAGGGAGAAATATGTAAGAAAGGGAGTAGTTAAGGGGTGGAAGGACTATACAAAGGACTGTGGGAATAAAGGGGGAAAGTCTCCAGATACACAGTAAAAAGAAAAAAAAAAAAGTCTTAAGCACAGAAGGACCCCTACGGGGATTGTTCTGGCTTGATTCTCTGTTGCTATGACAAAACACTCTGGCCAATACCAACTTGGGGAGGAAAGGGTTTATTTATCTTACATCTCCTGGGTCACAGTTCATCCGGGAGCCCAAGGTAGGAACTCAGGGCAGGAACCTGGAGGCAGGAGCTGGAGCACAGGCCATGGAGGAATGCTGCTTACTGACTTGCTCCACGGGCCCCTGCTCAGCCTGCTTTCTTATGCAACACAGGCCCACCTGCCCAGGGGTGGCACCACCCACAGTGGGCTGGGCCCTCCCACATAACTCATCAAGAAGATGCCTCACAGTCATGGCCAAAGGCCAGTCCAATATAGGAAAGTCCCCAACTGAGGCTCCCTCAACCCAGGTGTGTCAAGTTGACACTAAAGCTATCCAACTTCCATCCTGGAAGAAAGCCCTTCCAGAAGCCATATGAATGTTAAATGAAAATCCCATTGCCAGAGGTGGGTTGCCCCCTATGAGCTGTTAGCCTGAGGGACACTAGAGGTCCCCAAACAATAAAGGCCATTGCCAATAATGTTGTTTGTACACCAGAAGTGGACAGGAAAACCGTATTGCTGAAGACACTGCATGATGTGAGCATGGGAGAGGGAGAAATCAAACTTGGACTAAGCTGGAAACTCCCTGCCACTAGATGGGTGGTTTTCATGGTGCCAAACGGCAACACGCAGATGACTGGGCAAGAGTAGTTCCCTATAATCCTCCTCAACAATGAACCCTGAATGCTGCACTGTCAACATACCAAACAAGATGTTCCTGCTGTTGCAATAGTGGAGCATCCAGTGCATGTACAACCAGCAAATTTTTGATCAGATATAATGCCTGCTCTTCAGGGTGGAACACACATCTGGCACTGTCGACCTGGCCAACGCCTGTAGCAGGGAAAATGCAGGCCCCAGTGGGAAGTTTGCAATTGCTTTGTTAGATGGAAATGATGCGCCTGCTAAAGTACCATGCAGGCTTTTGTGTCACACCCATAGGCTAAGTCATTAGAGCAGCCGCTGTGTGGGTGTGCTTTGTGTGTGTGTGTTTGTTTGCTTTTGTTTTTATTTTTTGGTCTTTTCAATACAGAGTCTCCCTGTAGCTCCAGCTGTCCTGGAACTCACTATGTAGACCAGGCTGGCCTTGAACTCACAGAGATCCGCTTGCCTCTGCCTCCAAAGTGCTGGGATTAAAGGCATGCACCATGCCTGGCTGTGTGCATTTTTATAGTAGATGGAATCCCACTGAAACTGACCAACAGCCCATGGAAAACAGATGATGCAGAGACCCAAAAGTTCAGTGCCTTGTCACAATGGGAGGAAGATCATCCCACACCTACCACTCCCTTCAAGGCTCAAGGACCTCTGTGTAAGAGGTTGGCAAAAAGAATGTTAAGAGCCAGAGGAAGGGGTAGAGTGTTAACTGGAAGTGTCCTCCAACCACTATGCCAGCAGGCTATAGTCACACCTCCTTCCGATGCTCATCCAGGAGTCAAAGGGGGAGTCACTTACCCCTCCCACCCAATCAGTCGACCTTAGCTGCACGTGGGAGAGGGGCAAAGGATATATAAGCTGAGAACACCATGAGGCCCCTCTCTCACCATTTTGTGCAGCTGTTGGGAGGTCACAGGATCTTTGATATTTAAGTGTGGACTTTACAGTGCAGCCGTAAATGTGGAGCACCCACTCTTCTGTAAATAAACTCCTACTGTATGCTCTGTTAGCAAACCCAATAAACTAGTTAGGAAAAAAAAAAAGAACAGAGCTAATGGAAACCTTCATTATTCCACCAAAATTCACTCCATGTTGACAAATCCTTTGGTCTTTGATTTTTTTTTCTTTCTTTTTTCTTTTTTTCTCTCTCCTTTTTTTTTTTTTTTTTTTTTTTTTTTTTTTTTCTCTCTTTTTTTTTTTTTTTTTTTTTTGGTCTTCTTTCAGACAGGGTCTTCCTGTGACCCCAGCTGGCCCAGTCATGGCCAAGGAACACTAAAGGCTGCATGGAGCCATGGGAAGTCAGAAGGCAAGGAAGGGTCCTCTCAAAGACTTTGGAGGGAACACTATTCTACAACACCTTCACTTCTCACTTCTGATCTCCAGAACTGGGGAGAATGAAATTGTATTGTTTTACAAGCTCAGGGTGGTCATTTGTTCACAGTCCCAAGATACTCTTTTTCAACATGCAGACCATGCCCATCCCATACCCTCTGCTGCATCTATCTCAGGAGAAGCAACACAGGCTTGTCCCTCTGCAGATGTCCATCCTCAAGAGGATTTGAGCCATCCGAGGACTGGGCCCAGCGCAGAAGCACCTGTCTGGGCTAGTAGGGTGGTTGAGCTGTGCTCAAATCCCTAACCTGGGAGGGAAATTCAAGATTGGAGTGAAAGCACAATGTTCAATGATGACGTGAGTCTGCCCCACTGCAGAGGTGGATGCTGGGAGCTCACAGGCCAGGGAGCCTGCCTCAGAAAGCCTCTCGTTGGCACTGGTTGTTCTCTATCCAAAGAAGCCTAACAACACCTGCGCCAGCGCTGAGCCTCATGTTCCCTCATGTCCAGAACTTGAAGCATGTGCACTTCCATCCCAGAGGCATTTTTTAAGGAAATTCTATCAATAGCGGCATAATTAGAGGACAGCAACTCGAAAGAAAACAAACAAGGTTTCCCTGGGAGACTGGCACAAGCAGGAACCAGGAAGTGACCATGTGCAGCCTCCCACCTGATCCTGGACAGGACTATAAAAGCCCCAGGCTCAAGAGGCTCCACACCGCACACCTCCCTCTCCACCTGCTCCTCTGACCTACTCCATCCTCAACCAACCACCAGAACCATGACCTGCGGTTGCTGTTCAGGAGGCTGTGGCTCCAGCTGCTGTGTGCCCGTGTGCTGCTGCAAGCCCGTGTGCTGCTGTGTGCCCGCCTGCTCCTGCTCCAGCTGTGGGGGTTCTAAGGGAGGCTGTGGTTCCTGTGGGGGCTGCAAGGGGGGCTGTGGTTCCTGTGGTGTCTCTAAGGGGGGCTGTGGCTCCTGTGGGGGTTCTAAGGGGGGCTGTGGCTCCTGTGGGGACTGCAAGTCCAGCTGCTGTCAGTCCAGCTGTTGCAAACCCTGCTGTTCTTCAGGCTGTGGGTCTTCCTGCTGTCAGTCCAGCTGTTGCAATCCCTGTTGCTGTCAGTCTAGCTGCTGCAAACCCTGTTGCTGTCAGTCTAGCTGCTGCAAACCCTGTTGCTGTCAGTCTAGCTGCTGCAAGCCCTGCTGTTCTTCAGGCTGTGGGTCTTCCTCCTGTCAGTCCAGCTGCTGCAAGCCTTATTGCTGTCAGTCCAGCTGTTGTAAACCCTGCTGTTCTTCAGGCTGTGGGTCTTCCTGCTGTCAATCCAGCTGCTGCAAGCCCTGTTGCTGTCAGTCCAGCTGTTGTAAACCCTGCTGTTCTTCAGGTTGTGGGCCTTCCTGCTGTCAGTCCAGCTGCTGCAAGCCATGTTGTTCCCAGTCCAGCTGCTGTGTCCCTGTGTGCTGCCAGTGCAAGATCTGAGGTTCTCAATAATTGGCTCTACCAATTTCTTAACTCCTGAAGCCAGTTCCCAGGGAGCTCTGGGCTTCCTACTCCAGCTTTTGAGGGGAAGCAGTGAGTCACTGCCATGACATTTATGTTTCATAGGTTCGGGTTAGGCCCCTAGGCACTTTCGCCTCTCTTTTCCACATTCCCTAGTATGTTTAGCCAGGCTTTAGCCCAGGCCAAGAAGAGTCTGGGAAGATCCAAAATGTATCTGAGAGCTACTAAGTAAATCCTCTTCTCACCGGCCTTGGTCTCAGTGTGCCCTGTCTCAGTGTTAAAGGTACCATCTTTCCCAGACTGCTGCCCTGCCATGCCAGGCTGTTGCTATTCCATAAAATCTGTGGAATTGACTATCACTTTGCACAGAGCCAGTTTTCTGTCTTTTAATTCTTTAGTAGATGGAGAAAAAGAACCTACCTGCTAGCCAGTATCACAGGGAAATAGAAGGGAATTTCCTCAGTTGATAGAGGGCGTCTACCCACAGTTAACATAATTAACCATGAAATCCTGGGATGTTTCTCCTAAGATCGGCATCAAGTCAGGGAAATAATGTTCACGTTAGGGGGCTGGAGTAACTAGTAAAGAGCATTGCTGCTCTTCTACAGGACGCAAGTTTGTTTCCCAGCTCCTACATTGGGCAGCGCACAACCTTGTGTAACTCCAGCTCCAGGGGATCCATCACCCCTTCTGGCCTCTACAAGTACCTTTAATCACATGCACACACACACACACACACACACACACACACATAATTAAAAATAAAAATCTTTTTCTTCTTCATGCAACAGAACACAAAAGTCCACAAGAATAAGAGTCAGCAGAGTGTGAGTCTCTGGACAGGACTCCTATTTAAACCTCACCCATCCAGGCTCAGGGAACATTGTGGAAGAAGGGGCAGAAAAATTGTAAGAGCCAGGGAAGATAGTGCATGACCACAAGGAAACAAGAATCTTACAGGCTCCTGGGACCTTGCTCATATGAACTTACAGCTATGGTGACAGCATGCACAAGATCCATGGAAACTCAATCAGATAAAAACCCAACATAGAACTGGAAAATGGGCAGCAGGCCCCAGCCTTAGCCAGAGAACTATTGGCAACTGATTACTGCTGGGTGGAGGAGAGTTGATCTTCTCACTAACTTGACTTGATAGGTGTATTAAGTCACTTTTCTGTTGCTGTGATAAAAACGCTGATCAAAACAACTTATAGAAAGAAGAGTTTATTTGAGCTTATGGCTCCAAGGGAATTACAGTCCATCATGGCAGGGAGTCATGGTGGCTGGAGGTGGCTGGAGCAGGAGCAGCAGAAGCTAAGCTCTCACATCATCACACAGGCACAGGAAGCAAGAGAGCAACTGGAGATCCGGCAAGGCTTAAGAACTCTCTAAGCCCACCCCCAGTGACATACTTCCTCCAGGATAGCCACACCTTCTAAAACCTCCCAAAACATCACCATCATCTGGGGACAAAATGTCCAAATACTTGGAGCCTATGGGGGACATTTTCATTCAAACCATCACAATATGCCTAAACATATATGATAAAATGCATGAAATCCAGTGGGTGAGGGTATGGGTGGATGGATGGGAAGGGGGTATAAAGATGATTAAGATACTTTGTATGAAATGTACAAAAATTCAATTAAACATATTAAATAAATAAATAATTTTTTGTTCTTTTTGAGACAGGGTCTCCCTGTAGCCCCAGCTGTCCTGGAACTCACTGTATAGACCAGGCTGACCTTGAATTCACAGAGATCCGCCTGTCTCTGCCTCCCGAGTGCTGGGATTAAAGGTGTGTGCCACCACACCTGGCTTAAGTAAAATATTTTAAAAATAAAAAAAAATTTCTTTAAAAAGAATGTGCACTGTCATCACATTGCACAGAACTTGTGGCCAGAATAATAAGACCAAAAAGCAAGTTTCCAAGCCAGGAAGGATTATATAACACTGACTCTTCTCACAGAGATGGAGAAAAGTCTACGGGAAGGTATCACACTACAAGCACACCTTTTGGTGTTGAAATATGAATCCAACAAGTTACAGGATGAAAGATCAAAATACAAAGTCTATCAATGAGCAATCAAACATTATCAATGAGCAATCAAATATTATCAATGATGAGCAATCAAATAATATCAATGAGCAATCAAATATTATCAATGAGCAATCAAATATTATCAATAAGCAATCAAATATTATCAATGAGCAATCAAAAACTGGCATTAAGAAAACAATTTTGAGACCTTGGCAGAGTGCCTGGATCTGGCCTCCATGTTGTGGTGAGCTTCCCCAAATCACTCCATACACATACCCCATACACTGGGACCGTGTGTGGCCCCTCCCACAGCTCCCGGAGGGAGGGAAAGAAGGAGAGGAGGGAGGGATGGAGGGAGGGA